AAAAAAATAGGTGAAATAGGCAAGATGATGTCTAAATTATTTGCAAAATTTAGAGGAGAGGAGGGCTAATATTGATTATTGAGATTAGAAAATGTTGCTATGCCAACTTTTGTGTCAAAAGGGGAAATGTAGTCATTAAATAGCGTGTGTGTGTGAGTGTGTGTGTGTGTGTGTGTTTAACAGGAATGATCTAATGATAGGTTATTGTCATTAAAAACTTGTTGGACAGCTGGAACTACTAATTGTTTCCATACTTCTGTATTAAAAATAAATAGAAAATGACATCAAGATTTTCTAAGTAAAATGAAAATGAGCTCCCACCCTTCTGTTAATGTATTTTCACAATGCACGATAACTGTTTTTATTAACACGAGCTGCTTGCCATATAAATCTTTTTACCCCCGAGCCTTTTCTTGTGTACTCTGATTCATCCTCATGTTTGCAGAAAACATACGCAACATCAGCTATTGTTTCTTACCTAACTGTCGTATGTGAATATTACATCTCTGTCTGTAAAATTCAGACCGAGCCCGTAAACTTAGGTTGATCTACATGCACAAGGGATTTCATCCAGATTTCATCATGATGGTCTAGTCAGACAGACGGGAGAGGCTCAGCTGAATTCATAATCTCTGTGTCTCTCTCCACCCTCTATCGCTGTCTCCCAAGTATGTGCATGCGTGCAATGTCAAAACTTGATGCATTGGTTGACAAAATAACATTATTCTATGTATGGCATCATTCTCTCCAGCCAGATATTGACTCTTTTTCGACTGGACCAGTTTCAGACCACAACTGGGTCACCCATAGTCATTTACTTCCCCTGCTTAAATCTATGCAATGTTTTGATGTGTGTGTGTATCTGTGCAAGTACTCAGCCAGATGGGCTGTGAGTTCCACAGAGCTCAAGGACAGTTTGGGGAGTGACTCAGTCAGCAGTGTGCCCGAGCTAGCCAACACACACTGCAAATTCACCAGTAACGGGAATAAAAGGGCCTGTTGGGAAAGAGGAGGGTTTTTTTGGATAGGATTTTCCTCCACACTAAGAGAAAAAAATCATAATTTCATTGATTTTTTTATTGAAGAAGTTTAATCTGCAGTAACCTCGTGTTGATTCATATTTCCTGGTAGAATCACATCAGTGCTGCGTAGAACATCTGCATCTACGATCCCTGTGAAAGTAGTTGCTAGTTGGCTGCAATGGGGGAGGGTCACAGATGGGGGAGCAGCGAGGTGTGGTGAGTGGGGAGAGGTTGGTGGGTGGTTAGAAGAACACAGCCCAGTGCTGCATGCTTTGCATTCCTCAGGTGTTGTCAGCATTGCTTGCTCAGTAATTACCTTTTAGCAACAAAAAAAGAAGACAAAGAAGAAGAAAAGCACAGCGCCACATTCTACCAGTAAACCAAAGGGCAGAAAAGAAGAAAAACCTTGAGGGGAGCTTAATAGGAAGTGGGATGCGTGTGTGTTTAAAGAAATATGTACATCGGGGTAAAAATGTGTGGATAATCACATGCATCTGCAGCCATGAGGCATGCATACATTAAAAAAACGTAGACTGTGGCTAAGTGAGAGTCAGCAGCTTTGTCTATGCAGCAATCCATCTTCTCTCAAGGATACAAGTGATGACTGCAGCCAAGCAGACCTTGGCATGTAAACTAACGGTGTGATACACATGTGCAGATTTGCAATGATGGTGGCGAGTCCTCAGTCACAAAACTTTACTTCTTTTTCAAACTGAGTACATTTTTGTCTGTCTGTATTTTAAATTTCATCGTTTCTCTTTCGCTCTCTCTGTCTTTTTTGTTTTGTTTTGTTTGTTTCATTAAGTCAGATGTCATCACTTTCATCACTGACACCATGGTACTTTTCACATAACAGATAGGTTCTCCCTGTCTGGGAACGCTTTTCTCTCTCCCTTCGCCTTTCCCTCCTTTGCCCCGCTCTGTCTCCTTGGCTCACTCGCTGAGAGCTGAGGGATTGTGTGCAGATGTGCCTGGAGAGAAGCCAGCCCTTCTGCCCTGGGAGAACATGTGGTCTGGGAGTGTTTATGCTGGCACTCTTTCAACCTGTCTCCCACACAACATGCTGGCGTCTGTCTTTTTTAAATGACAAAGCACAAACCTCCTTTCACAATAGGTGGCGGTGACACAAGGGTTTGTGGTAATTGAGTGCACTGACAGACAGGATGTACAGCAAGTTTTTAAAAGAAAAGCAGACAAATTTGCTGGCAGTAAATATGTTTTCCAGAAAAGCTTCAAGGGAGCATTACTGAAATGCATGCAATGCGTGGCTGCAAAACCGTTAAGTTACCACTACAGCATTTCCTTGCAAACTTTCTTTGTATTTATATTCAAGTTTCATGCTTGAACTGAAATTAAATATCCTTGCTTTAAATAGATATCCAGAATTTTCAAGCATGTTTTTCACAGATTCTCTGCATGCTTGACATTCTCTCGTGTGATTCGGGCTTCGGGTAAACATCTGTAAGGTGAACACCCCTGAAAAGAAATTCCTATTCTTAACACTGGTGGCAGCAATGACCATCAGTTTGGGCAGCAAAATGCACAGCTGTTGTTTTTAGTACCCATGACTGACTGAGTGGGAGACATCCACTGCTTTACCCACCATACACTTAGAGAAAGAGTCATTTATGAGCCTTTTTCACATTCAGAGGCTTTTTATTCTCTTTTTAAACAAGCGGTTCTTTGATCGGACATTTCTCAGATGTTCTATCATGTAAAATTTACCAACCATTGCAATAAACTGCTGGACTCTATTTTGCTTTGTTAGTGAACTGAGTTAGTCTGCGTGCCTCTCTCGAAATCTAAGTTTCCAGTGCCCCCTGTAGGTTTGGATGGTTAATGAACCTATCCGGCCTTTTCACAAATTGAAAGAATTAAAAAGAAAAAAAAGCTCTGTTTAAAAACAGACAAACAACCCAAAGAACAAAAAACAACAAAAAACAGTCTGTATGTTTTTGGAAATGCATCTAGTCTCATTGCTCATTGAGTAAAATGGTTATATATATATATATATATATATATATTTAAGTTTTTAAATGCAATTTAATTGTTAACTTTGGTAAAACATATCACATACACACATAGATGCTGAACCCCCCCACGTATTTCATAACAATCACATCGAGTTGTCATTTTCACGTGCCACCAGGGGGCATGATTTAGTAACGAAACCAGAGGTTGACGTCTCCCCCACCCCCTCAGGCTACACGATTTATTGCACTCAGACTTCACGCCTTTGACGTGTAACCTAAATAAAAATGTGATACTGGGATAATG